AGAGAGAGAGAGAGAGAGAGAGAGAGAGAGAGAGAGAGAGAGAGAGAGAGAGAGAGAGAGAGAGAGAGAGAGAGAGAATTATTAAGCGCCCGTAAGTATGTTCCAACAGTGATCACACTTTTTGAGTTTTTGTTTTTTTTATTACAGAGAGAGAGAGACAGAGACAGAGACAGAGACAAAGACAGAGACAGAGAACCTGCGCTGTTCGAAAAGCAGGCCCGAGCTATCACTAGGACGGGAGGCCCTGTGGCCTAGGCCCGCAGCATGAGAGCCTATAGCCAGGCAGCTAGAGGCCATAATGATATTGGTTCACATCAGCTCAATCTTGTACTATTCTTTTGTTACCCTCGCAAGTATCTTATTGTGATCGGTTGTTGGGACTACTGGGAGTATTGTCATAGAGTGAGAAACACGGTTCAAACACCCAGTCTTATCTCCACACCTGTTCATAGTGGTTTTTGAAACTTTCCGCTGCTTACTCTGTCTGTGTGCATTGTGTACTCTGTCTCCTCTCCCCTCCTTCTTAAGTTTGTGCGAGATGAATGGGCATGCGTGAGATTGTTTGAGTGTGAATGTTGGTGAAAAATTGAAAATCGACAAACAACCAAGTTCACAACAGTTCTGCAAACAGTCGTGCGAATGTTTTCAACTTGTGTCTTGCGAGCAACAGCCACAACAACGGCAACACCAAGTTCACCAACTGCCCCGTACAACAACATGACGGCGCTACTAGCCGTGATTAAGTTATTAGTAAGTTATTGCACTGCTCACGCACGTGAGCCATTGAGGCTCGGGGCCCTATGATCCCCTATCCCCAGGGTCCAGGGCCCAGGGCCTTGCAGGCTGCAGGGTCTGCAGAGTTGTGCAGACCGCAGTGCCCCAAGGACCCTCACCCCAGGGGAAGGGGCCAGGGGCCATGGCCCTGCAGGGACTGCAGATTGCAGTGCCCCCGCTTCACCAAGTGACACCAAGTTCACCAACCCATGGTGTCGTCAGGCCCGTCACCCCGCATTGCCTTTATCCCGG